TCCCTCATTCGAGCCACTGACTGGCCACCCATCTGCACCCTCGCCGTCCCCCCGGATCCGGCAGTCCACAGCGGCAAGTGGGGGGCCAGCCACCCCCTGGAGGACTGCCTGACCCCCAACTGGGTGGGCCACGGCCGCTGGCTGCTGCTCGACCTCACGGCCCAAAAGACAGAGTGGGGGCCGGCGCTGGGGGGAGACGGCGTCGTCGTCGCCACGTGAGCGGGGAGCCGCCCGTGGCCGCGGCGCCGTCTCCTGGATGGGTTTTTTGCAGACGTCGGGCGTATAAGGCGTCATTGGCACAGCCCTTTCACCATCCTGGGCAAAATGCGCCCATCACTGTCGTTGTTTCATCAACTCTGCAGGGGGCGCCGCCCCCTCCGGCCTCGCCGCCAACTCCGCCGCCATCGCCACCTGCCCCGAGCCAGCCTCCGCACCCCGGGAGCCTCGGGGTCCCACCACCTCTTGCCCCAGTCCTCTTATCCCGTTTGAGAGCCGGTCCTGCCCACCGGCGCCACAGGCCCTAGCCACTGCCGGCTTTGTTCTCGCACCTCCACACTTGATTTGACAGATGCCTGGCTGGATGCGCCACGCCATCTTGAAACAGCCTGAACTTCTTATTGCATCCCAAACGCATCCCCAATTCGTGCGATTCGCCCAGCACCTCAACCCTTCTACGCACACGCACGCGTCCGCCCGCGGCAGGACGGTGCCTGACGTGGCATCTGTGTTTGCAGAGTCGGTTGACGCCCGATTGGTGGCGCGCGAGGGCCGAGGCATCGCAGAGGGGGAGGCCCACCAGGACCTGCGTGGCCAGCTGGAGGGGCACGTGGACGAGCGGACGACAGTGATCAAGCATCAGCAGGAGCACGCGGCGAGGCTGCACGTGAGGGGCAGGGGGAGGGGGCGCGGCGATGCTTAAGCGGCTTCCCGGGGCGGCGGGGGCGTGCAGCGAAGCCAGGTCCTTTTGCCCGGTCCACGGGCAGGGCCCTGCCGGCAGCGCGAGCCTTGTTTTGCGTATCCTGCCCTGTTAGCTGTAGCCGCGCCTCACACAGATATGCCGCCGTTTGGTTCTTGGCGACCCAGGCAGGTGCTGATCGCTGCACCCCGCAGGCACGCGTTTCCCACCCGGTTTCGGGCGCCGATGCGGGCTGATCACACTGGGCGCTCCCCCACCTCCTCGCACCCACACCTCGCACCCTCCGCCCTTGCCTGCGCCCCCTTCCCAGGCCGCCGCCACGGCGGGCAGGCCCGGGCACAGTGCTGAGGCGGAGAGACAGGAGCTAGACGCCAAGCACGAGGTGGGTGACACCCTATGTTCTCACCCTTTGTTCACACCCTATGTTCACACCCTTTGTTACGGCAGCAGCCGTTGAATGGTACGCTTTCAAGCCCTGAAAGCCAAGCCCCTCCCCCCGAAACTGTCCATCGTCCCTGTCCCGTTGTGCGGTGACTTTGTTATAGGGTCACATTCAGTTCTCTTATGATGCACCAAGCGATGTGTCAAAAAACCCCAAAGCGCAACCCGTGCTCCCCCAGGAGGTGCTGCTGCACGCCCAGCTGGACATGTACGAGCACTTTGCCCTGCAGCACTGCAAGGTGAGGGGCTGGGCCGCCCCCCTGGGATGTTAGGATTCTCCTTACCAGCGGATCCGTCCACCGCACCCCTGGTGGCTGGCGGGTTTGAACGCCCGCAGCTGTTTAGTCGACTTCCGCCGCCGCATCACTAAATTCAACGCTGCAATCTCAGTGGGATGCGGGCCGCCAGGTGGAATTCGCGCCCACACCCCTTCCGCTGCCAGCCAAACGAGCCCTCTCCTCACTTGCCCCCAACCGCCCCATCAGGGCCGCGTCGATCCGCCAGTGGCGTGCAGCGAGTCCCAGGAAGCTGCCCTGGAGCTTCGCCACCAGCTGCAGGCCCTGGCCGCACACTCGGTGTGCAGCTTCCGTCGGCGGATGGGCGTGTGTCGGTCGAGATGGGGGCGCGGCAGCAAGGCCGCCGGGCGGGGCAGGGATGGTCGAGGCAGGGATGGCTGCGGCATGGGACCGGGACGGTGCAGGGATGGTGTCAGGCGTCATGCGGGGTGCAGAGGTGCGAGATGCCTACACACCCGCGTCAGGGCCACCCTTCCCTAATCTGATTCTCGACCCCACTCCAGGTCGAGCGTGCCTTCAGTGCAACCGTCCCCATTTGATCGCCTAAACACCGCCAAATGCCACCCATACTCCCGCACCGGCACTGCGTCCCTCTTAACACGGCAGACCTCCAAGCATGATGTGTTCAGAGACAACCATTGGGACATATTTGGGCTGCACCAGGCAGATGATCAACAGCCAGGTGGGGGTTTGTGGTGTGGCTGGGGTGTGCAGAGCTTTGGGGTGGCCCTCTGTGGCCCATGTGTGTTTGTGTGCATGATGCATGCATGTGTATGTGTGTGTGTGCAGTTGTGTGCGCGTGTGTATGTGGGTGTGCAGACGGTGTGTGCGTAGCGCGTGTGTGTGTGTGTGATGTGGAGAGTGTGTGTGCGTTGACATGTGTGAGAATGCATGCATTTACAGGTGTGCAGGACCCGCAGCCCCACAGACGTCGCATTCACAACTCTGTGCGGACTGCACCCGTTGGCGACCTGCTATCGTTGCAAACACATGGCGGGCGCGACAAAAGGTAGCAACAGCCCAAGATCATCCCCCAACCGACCTTAGTCTTGATGCTCTCCCTCTCCCCATCCCTTGAACAACCACATTCACACATCAGACGAGCGCATTCAAAACAACAATACATCTCGCCGCCGCAGGGGTGGTCACGGCCCACGACCGCGGTGTGGATCACCTGATGGGCCACCTGTCAGACCTCATGTCACGGGGGCTGCGCCACGTGGTGGCCCCGCCCAGCGCGGGCTGGCACCACGCAGGCGGCCTGCGGGACGCCGCCTCCCCATACGCGCACAAGGTGCGTAGCGCCGACAAACGGGCCGCGCTGGTCGCCTGTGGGAGATGCTGGGGGTGGTCCTTTGACACTGAGCAGAGCGACACGACATGCCTGCCCTCTCAGCGTTGACCTCGCGTCGGCGCCGGCCAGGCGGCGTTTGCAAACCTGTGCGCCTGAGGCTCTCGAAAGGCCCTTGGGCGATCCATTTCCTGCGTCAGTTCCCCGGTCCCGCTCCACACCCTCACTCCTGGGCCTGACCTGATCGATGTTTGCTGACATTTGTCCATGGCTGATGTGAGCTGCATTGATATTATTTCAGATTCAGGACACCTGCCCTGCACCCTCCCCCCCCCCAAAGGTGCACTTCATGGTGCACACGCTCCAGGACAGCAGCCGCAAGCAGGGAGACCGCGGGGAGAGGGCCGCGCCCTTCGACATGGAGACGTTCAGGGAGCAGGTGTGTATCCTGTGTATGTGCACGTGTGTGTGTGTGTGTGTGGTTGTGTGTGTGTGTGTGTGTGTGTGTGTGTGTGTGTCTGTGTGTGTGTGCCTGTGCGCATGCGTGTGGTGTGGGGGGGCGAGGCACATACCTAAGCACGGACGTGCTGCCGCGCTCGCCTGCTTGCCTGCCTCCTGGCCCGCCCCCTGGCCTGCCTGCCTCCCCTGGATTGGCGGCCGGCACTTGGTGGCAATGCCAAGCTTGACTGGCACACATCGTACATGCAACCACCTGCCCGCCCGGCACGACATCCCAACCTGTCGGCCCCCTCCCGCCAACACCCAGCACCCAACCCCAAACCCTCGCCCCCGGCACCCAGGTGTCGCGCCTCGCGCTGCCGCACCAGTCCTTCACCTTTGCCGCGAGCGCCCTGGACCTGCTGGATGACCCCGCCCTGGCCACAGCCCTCAGCGTCACCACCAGGGCGGGGCTGGCGGAGCTGCCCACGGCTGCGACGCCCAGCGGGCGCAGCCACGACCCCGGTGAGGGGCTGTTCTTGTTTTGTGAGCTGGCGCCTGGAACCAATGCAGCTTCTGCTCAGGGGGAAATGGGGGCTGAGGCCGGCTGTGAGTGTGACTGAGGGTCCAAGGAGAAGTCCCAACCCCTTGGCGGCGGTGCGTTCAGGCCTGAACGCACCCTCGATTTCTTTCTACGCTTGTTCAAGTCGCCTGTTCGATCCCAACCTCGCTGCCGCGTTTGCTCGCCATGTAATACGCTGACCGCACGATACGCCAACCTTTGTTCGGGGGTTGGGGTTCAGATGTTGAGGCGCTCTTCATTGACAGCCACGAGCTCGCGGCCCACATCAGGAGGCGCTTCAACATGGCGCCACGCAGGTATGCAGCGGTGGGGAGGGGCCTGTGTCAATCGTCACTGGCAGCCGGATGCGGTACTGTGTATGACGGCCAAAACGATGCCGATTCTTCCTGCACTGAAAGATGGCTGCGCACCTGCCGGCCCAACCTGTGCGTCAGTGTTGTCCCTCCACGACCTGATCACGCGCCAACCCCAGCTGGGAGTCACCCCCTGTCTCTGCCTCGGTGATGCCTGCCAGGACCTTCCTCTCCCGCCACTCCTCACCCCATTCACCACCTTCCCTGCCCCCCCACCTCCCAAGGGATGGCGCCATGGACGCCCACGCCACCCTGGAGGTGCCGATTTTCATCCTCAGCCTCGACAGGTGCGCAACCAAACCCACCCGCCAACCAGCCAGCCAACCAATCAACCCGCACGGCCAGGCCCGGCCCCCACCGAGCAAACCTTTGTAACCATACGGCGCCCCTCGCCGGCCACAGAAGCTGCAGGCTGACCTGCAACGTGTCTTGACACACCGCCTGTGCTTTTTCAACACCGTTCGATCCTCATCCTGGGGTGGGGCCAGGTCCCTTGGCCGCCCCCACTTCATGGGAGCTCGATGCCCGCCCCACTTCCTGCTGAACACCGTTCATCTCCAACCCCATCATCGCTCAAAAGGGGCGCCCTCACACACACATATCCACCACACTCCTGCAGTTCTAATCCCTCCTTGTACCCCTTCAGCTCCCCCCCCCCAATAAAAACCTGCCCTCCCCCCAGTGACCGGCCCCTGCTGCTGGACAGCCACCACAACGCGCGTTCCCTGGAGGACATGGTGCTGGTGGTAGACAACGCGGCCAGCCAGGTGGGCGCACGGCCAGGTGCCACGCGCTGCGCACAATGTTGCAACACCCTGATCAGCTGGGCCAACGCAGTCTCTGTGTCTGGACCGTGAGTACGCGTTGTGCCCACTGGCTCGTGCGCTAGTGTCAGTGGGGCAGAGGGGCAGAGCGGAGCCAAGGGCGTGGGCGTCGGGGGTAACCCTGGTGCGCCGCCTGTATGATACAGGCAACGAGGCCGCGCTGCGATGGGCCCGAACGCGTGGCGGGCAGGTTCCTGGCATGACTTACATCTCCCTGGGGCGGACTGCTCACCCGCATCCCAAGCATGTGTCTGCTCGGTAACCCAGGCCCCACCGCGCCCTTTTAAAACCCCGACCCCTGCCCCGCAGGACGAGCACCCCACGGGCTTCATGTGCGAGGGCTCCCTGCTGTCGCGCCCGCTGTCGCCCCTGCGCCACGCGCTGGCCGCCGTGCTGCAGCACCTCGGGGGCGTGCTGCCGCCGCACCTTGGATACAACCCAGGGTGCGCCCCCGCTGCTTTGGGCGCCGCAGGCAAACCGTCTGTCGCTGTGGGCCTGCTCACCGACCCTATCACTCAAGCCATTCATCACAATTGGTCCACACCGCTCTGCAGTCAAGGAACCAATGCCTCTTGCCCCTTGTTGCCCCTGCCTCTGCGCTGAAACGCACGCTCTTGCCCACGGCCCTACACCTGCAATGCCGCCCGCAGGCGCGGCCTTGTAGCGCATGACTGGCTGTGGAGCGTGGGCGCCCACCCGCTCAGCTGGACGTCCACGGGCACCGCCTACAGCCAGCTGCACATAGATGCGCTGCACAGGTGCGCCCTGAACCCTGGACCCACTGCTTTTGAACCCCACCTTGTCAGCCGGGTCCGTGGTCGTGGACCCTGATTTCCCCTTAGAAACCTTTCTGCTCGACCCCATTTCATTTCCAGTTTCAGGTCATTTTCACATTCTGAAGTCCTGAAACCAAGCGCTCAGTACCTTGCACCCTGGATTTCTTGAAAACTACCCCATCCACCTGTGGACCCCTAACCCTTAACCCCAGGAGTTACATCTTTGATGCGTTGGACCGCTCCATCGATGACGTGAACGCGGGCGTGTCACTGCTGGCGGACGAGAAGCCGGACGAGCTCAGTCATGCCCGCGTAGTAAGGCACAGGGAGCAGTTGCTGACGGCGCTCAAGCTGTACAGCCAGGCCGCGGCGACGTGGCGGGGCGCGGTGGCCCATGCGTCTGCGCTCGAGTTTGGCGCGGCGGCGCGGATGATACCCGGCATGGAGCGCGCAGCGGCGGCATTCCTGGAGGCCTGCCAACAGGTGCGCCTGTGTTATTTGTTTTATGTTGAAATTTTAGGGGTGTGTTGGCTCGCAGAAACCTGCTGCCACATAGCACTGACGTGTGCTGCGCCGGAGAGGGAAAGGAGTTGCGCCATGCGCTGCCCTGCCCGCCACCTACCGGTGGCGCCGGCAGGGATGCCGGCAGCCAAGCGCCAACTTGCACTCAACAGCACCCCCGCCGTGTCTTCATTGCGACCGCGGCGCCCCGCCCAGGTGGACGCTACCCTGCACCCCCAGCGCTGCGCAGACCGCGCCGCGCCGATCGCGCCGTCGGTGCTGCGCGCCATCGTGGGCGGCAGCTGCGCGGCGGTCGCGCTGGCGCTGCTGCTGACGTGCGGGACGGCGCGGAGGAAGACCAAGGCGGGATGATGGCCCAGGATGCTGCTGATTGAGACGCGCAATGTGCAAATGTGATGTCAAGAGGACAAGACATCAACTCGCCTCCTCAAAAAGGGCTCCACGTGAAAACAGCCGGGTTCAGCTCTGCACATTATAATTCACCAGACTCAAGAAAAGACCATAACGAACAGAGAAGAGGAGCCAAATATTAGCCAGGGAAGTGTGTTGCCAACATGCACGTGGCACAAGCAGATCTGCACCAGCTGCCATGCATGGGTTGGGCCGCCAGCAAGGGCATGGCGTGTCCCCGACACACTGGCCTTATGACCTGATTGAGAGGCCCATGCGCGTGCAGCTAGCTGCACTTGTGCCATTGCTAGTGGGGCCACGCACCCTGCCGGTGGTTTGCATCGCCCAGGCCCGCTGTAAACAGCAGGGGCACAGACGGACTGCTGATGTCACATTGACCAACCAAGCGACAACGGCCGTATCATCAGAAGATATGACACACCAAAAATAGATCGTAAAAACTGTAATACCATACTTGACTGCCGCGGATGCACGCCCTGCAGTCACTGTGCCACTGCGAAGATATCAATGACTGAGCATTTTTGCATGGATGGAGCACACAAACTCGATAAAAGGCGTGTGTATGCAAAACAAAGTAAGGTACAATGCGAATGTCCTTTCGACCATAATTTGGATGCCTGATCTCGCAATCCATGAGGAATGGAGCATGATTTTTTCTGCTTGATGAGTTGCTTGACACGTGTCAAGTACCCTTGAGCGCGCTCTGGGCAGCCAAGAGCTGGAGTGACCTGGACCGCCGCTGCAAACCGTGCCACTTCAGCTGCTCATCAATGCAGTGCCACAACTCCGTCCTTACGCCACCACAACCATACATCAGTGGATTGAGACCTATGCTTGCATGCTTCTCTCATGCGTGTGTGCCAGGTCATGCGCTTGAGCGCTTTGACAGCTTTGGTGCCATCCAACTGTGTCATCGTTTTGTTATGCCCTGAACTTGTTTGCCGCAATGCTGCGCTGCGACCGTTTATTTGAAATTGCCCCCAAAAAACAGGTCAGGTCTAAAATACAATCTTGAGTTTTGTTGCAAAATTTTAGTAAATAATTAGATGTGGGTTGGGCGCAAACTTGGAGCTGCTGCTGCACAAGCACACTGCCCGACACTTTCTTTGGACCTCTGAGGCAAGCCAGGCTACGCTTGGACAAACTTCACACACCCTGTCACACTTTTAATTAAGAACCTGATAGTCGAGGAATGTTGACTGGCGCTTGCAGCATGTACACCCAATGTCAGCAATTGCTTGGACAAAATCAGGGGTGCGCAAGGGGGCAGACAGCAGTACCAAACCGCGCTGGACTTTCAGCTTTCATTTTGCACCCCACTCCAGGAACTCCTGGCCAGGCTCGGCGCCTAATGTCAGGCCCCACGAGCCTGTTTGCTCCATGCTTGAATCCTGGCACCCACATTGCCTGAGTCATTTGTCACCTATAACACCAATCCAAATACGCCTGGTGACCGGCCAGAAATGTTACATGGCGTAATTTCAAGAGTTTAATTTCGCCATGCATTTGACATTTCAAGACAAGAGGTGGATGTCGCAGCACGACGGCCTCTCGCAGCAAATGGCTGACAGTAGTCGTTCTTGTGCTCACGCGTCAGCTGAGGCCATCAGCAGCGGGGCGCACCGCCGCGCCGCCGCTTCGATCGCCCCCTCCAGCACCTCTGCGCGCGTGCGGTCGCCGGCCGCCCGGCCGCGCAGCCAGCCGCCGATGCCGTCCAGCACCTCGGCCGGGCGTGGCGTGGCCTGCAGGTGATTGGGGCGCGGGCGGCGGTCAGGGGGTCAACAATGGCGGTGGTGTCAACAATGGCGAGGGTGGCGTTGCTGTGAGGGCAGCCACCGCGGAGTGCGCCTATTTTGGTGACGGACACGGCCACGCGCCAGCTGGACAGGCGGCGCCGAGGGGCCCTTGGCAGCGTCACAGACGTATGGGGCTGGCGCAGGCGGCAAGCCTCGAGGACGGCACGCCAGACCTGGGTGGCTGGCTACACGCCCCTGCTGAGCCCCCGCCAGTCCGCGAGGCCCACTTCGGCCCACAACGGAAGAGCAAGCGCCCACCTCCAGGGGCGTGCACGCCAGCAGCGCGGCGGCGCAGGCCACCAGCCCCTCGCACAGCGGGCTCGCGTCCAGCGCCGCCGCGAAACCCTCGTCTTCGCCGCGCACCCCCTCCGCGCCCTCGCCCTCGCCCTCGTCTGTGCCGCCATCGCCGCCGCCGCCGCGGCCGCCGCCCTGCAGCTGCGCGTTCCTGAGCTCTATGAGCCGCTGCGTGTCTGTCAGGTCCAGCAGCCGCTGCCAGCCGGCCTCCCACAGGGACCTGCGGCGGGCGCATTTGGGCAGCAGGTTCTGGGTTCGGATTGTTTCAGCGGTCGTCCCGCGGTCGCACGCTGCTGGAGCCACCCAGGCTCGTGAGATTGGACTAAAAACATGACAGGGCTGCCGCGAAGGTGTCCACCACCTTCATGGCAGGGAGGGCTGTCCCAGCCACCAATGCATCGAGCGCCCGCCCGCAGACGCACACGCCGCAGCCCAACAATCCCTCGCGATTGCGGGTTGCGGCTCGTCGGGGCGCGACGAGCGAACGGCGACACCCTGCCTCCCCTCGCATGCGCGGCCCCCCCCC